CCAAGGCTGCCCACTTTCACCTCTACTATTTATACTAACTTTGGAAATTCTCTGTAATATGATCAGAGGAGACAAAGAAATACCTGGAGTTAGAACAAAAGGATATGAGACCAAATTAAGAGCATATGCTGACGACATGGTTATATATTTGCCAGATCCTATAGAAAACATACAAAAATTATTAGAGATTCTAAAGGAGTACGGAGGATATTCAGGATTTAAAATTAACAAGGATAAAACTAGAGTGCTCATGATGAACATGACATACAAAGAAAAAGAATTATTTAATATGAGATCAGGACTTACAATAGAGAAAAAAGTAAGATACTTGGGAGTCATGTTTTCAACAAAGAACTCAGACCTATTTAAAAATAATTACGAAACCACATGGAAAAAATAAAGATGAAATTAAAGAAATGGAACAATCTACATATATCACTTTTAGGTCGAATCTCGGTTATAAAGATGTACGTGCTATCTAAAATGATGTTCTTTTTCCAGACTATCCCACTAATAATAAATGATACCCCATTCAAAAACTGGTAGAAATATATTACAAACTTTATATGGGCCGGAAGAAGATCCAGGATTAAATCAAAAATCTTACAAGATACAACAGAAAGGGGTGGCCTTGGCCTCCCAAATTTAAAATTATATTATTATGCCTGCGTTTTTGAATGGCTAAAGGAATGGTTAAGACTGAAAGATAGGAGATTATTGTATTTGGAAGAGGTAGACAATGTTTATGGCTTTCATGCCTATTTATATTATGATAAGGTAAGAGTTAACAGAGATTTCAAAAAACACTATATCAGAAATTCATTATGGAATTTAGGAGAAATACAAACAGAGGATAAACAGAAGTATTCCACTGACTCTGCAAATGAAGCTCTGTATAGAAATGATGAAATGGCAGAAAACAAGTGGTTAACATATGAAGAATTATTAATAAAGGAAAACAAAAAATGGAGATTGAAAACAATAGAAGAACTTAAAAAAGAAGGAATAAAATTCAATTGGTTTTTGCACAGACAGCTAAAATAAAGATATATAATGGATCAGAAAACTCATGTAATAACGTCAGTTTTAGTGAAAGATTAATGATGTGTTTTAAGTTAAGAATTTAAGAATTTAAGAATGTGTGAGATGGATGTTATGTAATGTTTTTTAATAAGAAAATTAAATAAAGAATAAGATGGGGGGGGAAAATGAAATCAAGATATGCTATGTCTACCGCATTCCCTTCATCCACCAAACTGGTAATTTTATCAAAGAAAGATATCCAATTAGTCTGGCATGAGATTTTAGGACATTTTCTAGTTCTTTCATAGGGGCTTTCCCCATTCTTAATCTTCTTCTGATTTCCTGGCTGCAGTCCCCATTGCTATCAATGTTTGATCCCAGGTATGGGAATTCTTTTACTATTTCTGCTTCTTCATTGTCTAGGTCAAACTTGTGAAGGTCCTTGGTGGTCATTATTTTTGTTTTCTTTATGTTCAATATTAAGCTTGCCTTTGCACTTTTTTCTTTGATCTTCCTTGTTGTTTCTAGTCTTGAGTTTTTCGGTTACTATTATGGTGTCATCTGCGTATCTTAGATTGTTGATATTCCTTCCTCCTATTTTCTCTCTCGTATTCTATAGTATTTATGTGTAGTATAGATCTCTATATTATTCTCTATATTATTCATGTATAGACAGTACTAAAATAACTGGCAATCTTTAGAGGTGCCACAGGAACCTTTGTCACTGAATGCAATGAGACAGAAATCACAAAGTGTGTTTGACCTTGTTGCCCAAGTTTCATATTCAAACACAAAGTGTTCATATTGTGTGTATAGAAACTGGAAAAGCTCCTTTTTTTTTGGACTACAACTCCCCGAATCTCCCTCCCCACAAGGCCACTTGAAAGTTGTAATCCAAAAAAAAGTAAACTTTCTTGGCAGATTGGAAGATCCTTGTGTACTTTGTAGGCTTGTTGCTGTGGTTGTTGAATGCTTTCAAGTCGTTTCCAACTTAAGGCGACTTTACCATGGACAAGTTTCTTCACAGAGGTCTTTGCCATGGACAACCTCTGAGGCTGAGAGAGTGTGACTTGCCCAGGGTCACCCAGTGGGTTTACACAGCCAAGCAGGGATTTGAATCCTGGGTTGCAGTGGCTTAATGGTTAGTTCAGGTGATCAGAAGTTCAGAAGGTTGGTAGTCTTCCTCTGAGGCTGAGAGAGTGTGGCTTGTCCACGTTTCCTTCAGAGGGGGTTGGACACCCTGGTCTTCCTCTGAGGCTGAGAGAGTATGCCTTGCCTAAGTTTTGTTCAGAGGGGGGTTGGACACTATGGGCTTCTTCTGAGGCTGAGAGAGTGTGCCTTGCCTAAGTTTTGTTCAGAGGGGGACTGGACACATGGTCTTCCTCTGAGGCTGAGAGAGTTTGCCTTGCCCAAGTTTCCTTCAGAGAAGGTTGGACACTATGGGCTTCTGAGGCTGAGAGAGTGTGCCTTGCCTAAGTTTTGTTCAGAGGGGATTGGACACCATGGTCTCCCTCTGAGGCTGAGAGAGTGTGGCTCACCCAAGTTTCCTTCAGAGGGGATTGGACACATGGTCTTCCTCTGAGGCTGAGAGAGTTTGCCTTGCCTAGTCACTAGTCCCAGCTTCTGCCAACCTAGCAGTTTGAAAGCATGCAAATGCAAGTAGATAAATAGGTACCACTTTGGTGGGAAGGTAAACAGTGTTCTGTGCAGTCATGCTGGCTACATGATCACAGAGTAGTCTCTGACAATGCTGGCTCTTCGGCTTAGTAACAAAGATGGGCACCGACCCCTATAGCTGGTTATGGCTAGACATTAATGTCAAGGGCCTACTACCTCCAGAGTTGTAGTCCATCACTCAAAGCACTAGGCTGCATTAGCTCCTTCCTGCCCTGCAAATGCTGATGGGCCAAAGAGATAAATGTCAACTTGCCTAACTAGATCATAGGCTGCCCCGGGACTTTGGGCCACTATTTATTTATTTATGTATTGATTTATTTCATCTATATGCCGCCTTTCTCCCCGAAAGGAACCCAAGGTAGCTCACGGACTTTAAAAAAGCATTACAATAAAATTTTAAAATAAGTTACAATCACCTAAAAACAATGTAAGATTACATTAAAAATATAATGGAATTTAAAAGGCAATACAAAAGGTACTGCTTCACTTTTTCCAAGTGTCTCCTGAAGCATTGAGCATTGGGCTAATATGACTCTAGAGACCAGGGTTCGGTCCTTTAAACCCACTGCGGTAACCTTGGGCAAGTCACACTCTCTCAACTTCAGAGGATGGCCGTGGCATCCAACCCTCTCTGAAGAAACTTGGCAAAAGAAAAACACACCCCACAATAGGGTTGCCATAAATCAGAGATGCCAGCATGGTGTAGTGATTTGAGCATTGGACTGAGACTCTGGAGACCAGAGTTCGAATCCTGGCTCGGCTAAGGAAAGCCAGTGGGTGACCTTGGCCAGGTCACACTCTGTTAGCCACAGAGGAAGGCAATGGCAAATCTCCCAATGAAGGAAACCTGGGCAAGCCACACTCTCTCAGTCTCAGAGGAAGGCAACAGTAAATCTCCCTCTGAAGGAAACCTCGGCAAGCCACACTCTCTCAGCCTCAGAGGAAGACCATGGTGTCCGACCCCCTCTG